TAAAGATTTTCCGAAACACTACTCTGTTGATAAATTACAGCACTTTGAAGTAGCACCAAAGCGTTAAGATGTCTCCAGCTGTCACCTGGAGACTGGCAACAGCTTGTCTGGAGTGTGGGCAGTATGGCATTGTATCTGTCTGAGGTCCCCCTCTTCCTCCTTCTCCTCAGATCCCACCCTCAGCAGGCTTCATCCCTAAAATATCCTGGAAGTTTCCAATCTGGAGTTGGCAACCCTATGTCCTTTCCTGGCAACCATCAGCCAACCTGCCTGTCTGTCTTAAGTTTTACAACACCCCCCCCCACAGCCTATGCCTAGGGAGCAGCTGACATCATTCTCCTCTCCCCTATTATGCAACTGAAAATTCCAACTGCCTTGCGGGGGGGGGGGTGAGTTTGAGGTGTGTAATGGAGTGAGGTCCAATCAGCTTCCATATGCAAATGACCTTGGAACGCTGGGCGGGACTGCACAAAGCAGCCAGTCAACCCAGCCAGTGTCTGAGTGGCAGTTTTTCCGGCCTTACACTAAAGGCGGGCATTTTAGAATTTAGAACTTTGGCACCCACTACTCAATTATATATAAGGAGAGATGTATGGGCTTATGCCCCTGTGTAAGCTGCCCTGAGTCCGTTCACAGGGAGGGCGGGGTAAAAATGCAAATAAAGAAATAAAAATAAATAAATTGTAGATGAAAGACATAACAGAAAGAAGACCGTTGCCTTTCTCTCAACAGTAAGCACCTTCACACCGCAACCTGCTGTTAAAGTTCAGAGGAGTCTGAAAGGACATTCCAATAAGCAAAGACCCACCATAAAGAAGGGCTTATCTTACTGCGTCCTCCGTCCACAAGTAATGCAAGATGTGATAGCTGTTATACCCTTTTCCCATTAATATAAGTATTCTAGCACATCTCTCAAATTAAAAGCTGACCACTGAACACTAACACCACATTCAAATCTGCATTTTAGCGACAGTGGTAAGTTATTTAATAACGGTAAATAACAAAAGTCATACTTGGCTGCTTCTCATACAGTTCCTGAAACTTCTTCCTTTCATATTCAACCGATTGCTGCATTAAATGTGGTCTAATGCTGCTGACAGCAAAGTTAGCCATGTCCATTTTCATCAAGTCCAACACAGAGAAAATGGCTCTGCAGGAAGAGAGAGAACAGAACATTGAGTGTGTCAAGCAGGAGATCCACGTGCTTGCAGTCAGTCCAAATGTAAGTCTTAATAAACTGTATATCAGTAATAGCGAGAACATTATGCTCCCAAGAAAAACAAAGTATAGATGTCGTCAGCAAAAAAATCCAGGAGTTTGTGCACAGAATCAAGACTGCTCTCCTTTCAAAGAAAGGTCTGCAGAAATTAAAAAACACTCTTCAGACTTCCATTCTGCAGAAACTTACGTTGACAACAGGTTACCTTTAAAAAGAATAAAAGGAGTATTGAGGCACCTTAAAGATTTTAACAGATTTCTTCTAGTATCCATGCAGGAGTAAATAAAAGCCTATGTTATGACCAGGGGTCATTTGGGGGGGGACGCGGGGGGACGCCATCCCCCCGGGTGAGGTGCGGGAGGGTGGGGCCTGGAGCTCCCTGCTGGTGCCCGCTGGAGGTCGCCGCCGGCTGTGGGGAGGACACACTTCCGGTGATGACAGGGGGTGTGGCATACGCTAATGAGTTATGCTAATGAGTCCCCCTAGCTCTTTTTCTATGAAATGACCCCTGGTTATGACTGATCTTTAAGGGACCAGAAATCTCTTTGGTTTAGACCACCATAGGCTAACAGAACACCTCTACTGGCTTTAGGAGTAATTTTCAAATTATTTCAGGCTAGTTCTCACTGATAAACCGGTGCCATTTCAGACTGGGGGCTCATGAAAAGGTCCCTGCACCTAGAAGACTAGGTACCAGGGAGAATGTTACCTTAAAACCCTGCTACCCAGCATCTATTTTTGTGTGTGCTAGGAATCTTTCCAGATACAAGAAGATTCAATCACGTGAGCCCCCACCTGAAGTACATCTGAAGAAGTTTCAGCCCAGGATCCAGTTGAGCACCTCAGGGGGCCACAGGGAAAGACAAACATTCAGCTTCATGCTTGGAAAGCAAGGGCAAAGAGACGTATTCTAACTGCAAGTCTTCAGTAGCATTCCTCAGACTGACCGAATATTGACCAAAACAGTGTTCCTTATCACTCCGTATTCCTGCATTCCCAGCAGTATTCCACCCAGGTTTGACAGGAAAATCCGTTCAGTGCTACATACAGAAGTTTTATCTCTCAGGATTTTCTAGGGCATGCAAGAACTGAAGAAATACATTTCTAAAGGACTTTTTCATTGCATTCTAGTACCTGAAAAGGGGGACTATTTCATGAATCTCTTTCAGCTTCTTAATCTCTTCATCTCTAGCTGGAGCACAGAGAGTCCCCATCATTCCAATAATGAATTCTGCCAGCTTAGTAATGTCAAGGGCACCATTTTCTGCCTCCTGTTTTATCAGCTCCAGATCTAGAGCCTCAGTAATCTGATTTCTTAATCTAGTGTGACCAGGCAGCAAGAAAGACAGAAGAGCCTGAAAGAAAGGAACGTTCCTATTACTAGCTCTTACCAATATTGCATTGCTATAATCTGTAAATGCCATTTCAAACCCAATAACCACTAAAGAAATGTTACACTGCTACGTGTGGTACAATTTTATAAACTCAACTTCATAAAGTTTTCATTCACTGTTTATAGTAAACAAGCTACTCGGGATTCTTGAGCAGGGACTACATACAGGAAACCAGGGTTAAAGTGTGCATACAGTTATTTTCTCTGACTGAGACATCTGAAGGGGAAACTGAATATTTTGCAACTCCGTTTATTTTGAACTACAGTAAATTAGCATCAGAAGGGGACGATTTACAGGGGAGAAGTAGTGACTGGGGAAAAGTATGCAACCTTTCTCCCATCTGCCAGTTTGGTGTAGTGGTTAAGTGCACGGACACTAATCTGGGAGAACCGGGTATGATTCCCCACTCCTCCACTTGCACCTGGCTGGATGACCTTGGGCAAGCCATAGTTCTGATAATGAGCTGTTCTTGAAAAAGACGTTTCTGTCAAGAGCTCTCTCAGCCCCACTTTCCTCACAGGGTGTCTGTTGTGTGGAGGGGAAGGGAAAGGAGTTTGTAAACTGCTCTGAGACTCCTTTGGGTAGTGAAGGGTGGGGTATAAATCCAATCTCCTCTTCTTCTTCTTCTTCTTCTTCTTCTTCTTCTTCTTCTTCTTCCCTCTTGTTGCCCAACCACAATCTCTAGATGCTTTCCTTTGTCTGTGGAAAACATGGATGCAACACCCCGGCCAGGGGAGGGGAAGCGACAGGGTTGGGGGAAGAGGGGAGAAAGGCAAGGGGAAAGCAGTATGGGAAGGCCCACAGCAGGCTCTTAAGGGCATACAGTGCAGCTACCTTACTGAAGGCAAGAAAGTTCAGCTCTAGCCAGTGTCCGGGTGAGAGCCCCACCAGGAATCCTATATACCCCCTTCCTTATGATCCATGAAGGAAGAAAGGGAAGGGACAAATATAATACATAACACAAATAAACGCTTCTTTCCTGCAAGTTGCCTTTTCTAAATACTACTTCCGAGAGGAGAAGCATCATACAGAGTTTCAAGACATAACGTGGAAACGTTACTGCAAACAAAGAATAAAGAATGACGTGAGTCAATCAGCTGGGAGAATAGTATGGCCAACATCATTCTTCTTTAGCATCTAGTCATAAGAAGAGTTATGGGAAAACAAAAGCTGCTTATTAGGTTGATTTCAGAGCTCTGTGGTACAGGGCCTATAACTACGAATTCACAAAATAATTATGGAAGTATTCCAAAGCCACTGAAAGGATTTGTGTGTTCCTCAACACCCAACGATCCCCAAGAGGTCAAAAGACCACTGATCTACAGCAAATGACACAGGTCACTGCTCAAGACAGGATAATTCGGCTAAACACATTACTGCTGTAAGAAAATTCAAACTATCTTGAAGGCAACAGAGATAGCACTGGTCTCTATTATAGGTGCCTTTGAATCTGCTGTACTAACCTTTTAGAGGTATCTTCAAAAGTGTTGATAAAATGTAGATAAGGATCATTTGGTCTACAATATATACCAGGATGTTCAAAAGCAGAACTTTTGAGAAAATCCCTTCCCAGTGAAACAGAATAAAAGGCTAACTCCTCTTACGGACTGTTGGCTGGTTAAAAACAGGAACTATTAAACAGGAATAAACTGACAGTTTTCATAATGGGAGGCATTAATTAGTGAGGGGTGTCCTACTGGAATGGTGCTATGGACAGAGAGAAAGGCAGATTTACAAAGAACAAATCATTCCCTCTTCTTACCTCTTTGATCTCTCCCACAAGTTTAATTGCATGATCATATGATGGTGGGTCTTCTTTTAACTGGGCTTCCAGACAATCCCAAAAAGCTTTGTGGACAATATCTCTGACTTTTTTTTCCAGGCTGACAAACAGTGCAACAGGAGAAAACTGAAATGAGATCTCTAGTGCAGAGCCAGGTTGGGCTTATTAAAGAAAAACTTGATTAGCAAAAATAGGACCAAGGAGACCCAGATTCAAATCTTCACTACACCATGAAATTTACTGAGCAATCTTAGACCATTCACTCATTCTCAGGGTGACCAGAGGACAGAACTATGGATGTTGTCCTGCACTCCTTGGAAGAAGGTTAAGATAAAAACACGTAAGACATAAAGCAGCTAAATAAGAATATGAAATGGCTGACACTGTAACATAAAATGTCTTAGCTAAAGACAATGTTCTTGTTGAGTCCAAGAATGAGTCAGAGCTCACAAGTAACAGCCAGGGAAGAATCGGCAGCCAGGATCAAAAGGCACAGCTAAATCATACAGCAGCAAAAGAAACTCAGCATACACCCTTCCCCTTGTTTCTATTGGGGCTAAAAGCAATTAGGGCACAGAGCCAAAGGAACTGGCGGACTACAGCCAATCTCACTTTGAGAGCTTCCTTTGCTGACAAGTCCATAAAGAGATTACCAAAGGAAGAGTTTACCCCCTTTCCATTGTTGTCCCATTCATAATGGATTTGTGTATATGTGGGGAGAGGAACGTCCAACATTAGTGTTGGCTATCACAACCAACTGAGTGTGGACTCTAATACAGTGTTTTTGCTACATGGAAGATTACTTATGGAGTAATGTCCATAAAGAAACAGTACCTAAATATGAAAAAAGAGTAAGAGTCCAGTAGCACCTTAAAGACTAACAAAATTTGTGGTAGGGTTTGAGCTTTCATGAGTCACTGCTCACTTCTTCAGGTATGTTTTGTTAGTCTTTTGTTAGTCTTTAAGGTGCTACTGGACTCTTACTCTTTTCTACTGCTACAGACAGACAAACACGGCTACCTATCTTGATCTTTGCCTAGATATGAATTAAAGAATGGGTTTTTAATTCTTTCCATGGATATTCTTCCAGAGTAGGGGAAATTATATACATAATTAAACTCTGTCTAAAGCTGCCATCTTACACACACTTACTAAGGAACAACTCCCATGATAAACAATGGGGCTTCTGTCACTTAACACAGGACTGGGCTGCACACAATGGAAATCAACTACAAAGTCCCTAAACAAGAGGATAAAACTGGCATACTTCAAAGACTCCCCTTACCACACAGAGAGTATAACATTTGACCAGGTTTGTGCAAGTTAATCGTTCTGCCCTGCCCCCTCCCCCCACAAGACAGAAATTATCTGCAGGGTTAAGGAGATCCCACATATACTTTATGCAATGTAAAGGGATGGGAAGAAGACATTATGTGAGCCAAGGTTTTCTTTCCCCTTCACTTTGTTGAGATTCTCTTAGTAAGTGTCTAACCAGGTCAAAGCGGTTCTATGTTTTCTTACTTCCTAGTAAAGTTTCAGGAAGATACCTTTTAATCGTTACGTGCTCACTGCTGGAGTCATGAGTTGGGGCTTCATTTCACGTGCTAATAAGCTTTACTCCTAGCTTTGAAAAAGTCTACTTTGCCTGTCTACAGTAAGAGTCCTCATACCTGTTTTCTGGTAATTCTGCCGGTTTAATCTGGAAACCTCCATTGACAACAATCTCATGGGCTAATACCATGTTAGTTACACCTTTTGCTGTTTCCATCAGCTCTTCCACCGATACAAACTGAGGGGGGCTAGCTGCAAGGTAATTAAATATACTTCAGTCAGTTAAGCATATTAATAAAGGTCCAACCAGAAACTAGGAAAAAAATGGGCTGCTGTTCAGGAGGATAAAATGAAGGCTGCCGGAAGGGCAATATATGTGCTGCAATAAACGTAAACAAGAAGAAAACTAAGGAGGTAGAGTTTTAGAAGAAACTGAAGGACCAACCCCTTCCTCTGAATACGACTGCTGATTTTATTAAAATTTGGAAAACATCCAATCAGGGCTCTTTTTGTAGCAGGAGCTCCTTTGCATATTAGGCCACACACCCCTGATGTAGCCAATCCTCCAAGAGCTTACAGTAGCCCCAGTAGGAAGAGCTCTGTAAGCTCTTGGACGATTGGCTACACTAGGGGTGTGTGGCTTAATATGCAAAGGACCTCCTGCTACAAAAAGAGCCCTGTGACCAAAGTCATTAGAGACAGCAACAGGACAATGGGGAAAAAAGAGAGATGGGTTTGCTCTCAGTTTCAGATCCAGAAAACTCAAAATTTTAACTTAAACAAACCAATAAAAATAGGCACAAATTTACCCTGGGTACCAATACCATGGCTCGTTCCATCATATATTCCTTGGAGCATGTTAAGATATCACGAGAGGGAAACACAAAGCAGGAGTCCCATCGGCACAAAAGCAATGTGATTCCAACTTCAGCCAGTTCCCCTCCACGCTGCAGCTCCCCCAGAACAATGAGTGTTCTTTGACTCTCTTCAGCAATGCCCTTGGGGGGTGGGGGGGCTGCAAAGGACTGCTGTGGAAATAGGACAAGGGGGAAAGAGCCATCTTCCAGTTGTACAGCCAAAGGATCCAATCAATACTTTATGAAATAAAAGTGCAAATACAGTTTTAAAACGGTCCATGTAATGTGAGAAACTATTTAATTGTATAGAAAGTATTGCAGAATAGTTTCGTTTTAAGGAGGGAGAAAGATCTTGCTAGTTTTGCTCACCTTGAGGCATGTTGCCTTTGCTTGGACTTGGTGTATTTTGTCGAATCTTCTTTCTGACTGACTGTTCTGGATTGTCTAAGGCGTCCTGCTGGTCATCTTCAGACTCACTTGAGTTTCTTCCACTGCCACCTGGCTTGTCTTGGTCCCGGGACATTCTCAGCTTTTTGGTTTGAAGAGATTAGAAGCAATTAAATTCACTGCTGTAAACCTATCACTCTAGCCAAACTGTGTTTTGAATGGTTATGCAACAAAAACTATTGGTCATTGTGAAGCAATAGACTTGCAAGCCCCATTCCCTTGAGTCCCAGGAGGTCAAAAAAAAATCTCTGCAGCCATCCCAAATCTCTCTCCTCAA